AACATCCCTGGCACTAAGAGGGAGCTCGGGCAAGGCTTGGATTGATAGAATGTTGACAGCTGGCGCGGGGTCAGCTTCTACTACTGGCAGAGGCAATCTACTGAGGCCATCAGCATGGCCCATTTCTTTCCCAGGCTTGTGGAGTAATGAAAAATCATATGCAGACAAGAAAATAGACCACCTAAGCATTCTAGGGGAAATGATGTGGGGAGTCTGCTTACGTGTGGTAAACAGTCCCAGCAGAGGCTTATGGTCAGTGAAGACCGTGAAATGCCTGCCATATAGAAAATCGTGGAATTTTTTAATTCCAGCAACAACAGCCAGAGCCTCCCTGTCTATCTGAGCGTAGTTGCGCTCGGCAGAAGACAGTGTTCTGGAGTAGTATGCAATAGGAACCTGAGTTCCATCAGACCTGAGGTGACTCAGGACAGCTCCAACCCCGTAGGGGGATGCATCACAAGCGATGCACACAGGAAGAGACTCGTTGAAATGTGCAAGAACACTGTTAGAAGTGAGCAAGGCCTTGACTTCTTTAAAGCAAGCCTCATGTGCTTGTGACCACAGCCACACAGCTTGTTTGTCTAGTAGCCTGTGAAGAGGCTCAGCTACACTAGCTTTATGTGGAAGAAAAGAATTGTAGAAATTCAGGAGGACTAGGAAGGCCTGAAGTTCGGCCTTAGACTTTGGCCTGGGTGCTTCTAAAATAGCAGTTAGTTTGGATTCAGCAGGATGAATCCCAGCAGCATCAATTTTGAATCCCAGAAATTCAGTAGAAGGCACCCCAATCTGGCATTTGTCTTTTCTGAGCTTGAGGCCTGATTTCCTGAATCTTAACAGGACAGCCCTAAGCCTTTCAGCTAGAATGTGTGTGGAGTCTCCTGCAATCAAGACATCGTCAAAGTAGGGGCAGACCCCTGGTATACCTCGTAGTGTGTTTTCCATTACGCTTTGGAAAATCCCAGGAGCGACATTTACTCCAAACTGTAGCCTTTTTACTTTAAAGGCTCCCCTGTGGGTCACAATGGTCTGAGCTATGGCAGCATCATCATCAACAGGCAGCTGTTGATATGCTTGAGCTAGGTCAAGCTTTGCAAAAAACACGCCCCCCCTTGAGAGAGGCCAGGATGTGACTGACCACAGGAACAGGATAGGCATGTTGCTGCAATGCCTTATTGAGTGTGCATTTGTAATCAGCACAAATGCGAATGTCCCCATTTGCCTTTAGAGGCGTGACAATGGGGGTCTCCCACGGGCTGGAATCAACAGGTTCTAGGATTCCCTGTTGGATTAGTTTGTCTAGTTCAGTGTCAATCTTACTTTTTAAAGCAAAAGGGACCCTTCTTGCTTTAATCCTAATGGGAGTGACAGTGGGGTCTAGCTTTAAGGACACAGGTGGTCCTTTGAATGTGCCCAGCTGGGGGCTGAAAACATCTGCAAATTCTTTGCAGACTTCCTGTAGGTGAGTGTTTGTAAGCTATTGAGTCCTGTGACGTGTATCCCCAGGGCCTCAAACCAATCGAGTCCTATGAGACTCGTTCGTTCACCCCCTACTACTAATAAGTCTAGTGGACCTTCAAAACTCTTGTATTGCACGTTAAGGGTGGCCTCCCCCTTAACACACACTCTTGAGTTCTGAAAATCTGTTAATACAATATCAGAAGGCCTTAACTTGGCCTTAGACCCACTTCTGGAACAAATCTTCCTAAATGTATGCAATGAAATGATGGACAGGGCAGACCCTGTGTCTAGGTCCATAGATACTGGAACCCCTTGTAGCTTCACGTTGAGTGACAGCTTTTTCTTCATGGGCTTGTGTGTGCCTGTTCTACAGATGCTTCTTCGCGAAGCGCAAAAACCTACCCTATTCTGGCTGGGGAATCTGGTACCCTTCAGGCGTTCTTCTTGGGGTTGTGCCTTTCATCGGCCCAGGCACACAGCTGCAATGTGCCCTTGTTTACCGCATGCCCGGCAGGTAGCGGAGCGGAACTTGCAGTCGGTTCTCCTGTGGCGACCTCCACAGCCGATGCACTTGAGCGGAGCCGAAGAGCTTCCCTTCTGGTTCTCTTTCTTCGCGGGGTGTAGACGGTTGACTTCCTCGTCCGGATCCTCCTCGGAATTTCGTCGGACGTCTTCCTGGTGCACGGACGCACCCTCTGCACTGTTTCTGATCGGCCGCATGTTTTTGACGGCGCCGCCTGCTGCTTCTTCTGCGGTGACTTCCCTTAAGGCGTCTTGGAAGGATAATTCTTCCTTTGCGAAAAGTCTCTGTTGTAGCTCGCGATGCCTTAACCCGAACACGAATCGGTCCCTCAGTCGTTCCTCGAGGTCCTTGAACTCGCAGGGCTTGGCGGCCTTCCGTAACGCGGCGATGTATTCCTTGGTTGACTCACCGGGCCATTGATCCCTTTGTTCGAAGGTGTGGCGCTTTGAGATAACGGACACCTTGAGGTTGAAGTGCTCTTTCAGCAGCTTCTTCAGGTCTGCGTAGCTTACAGACTCTACTGGAACAGGTGCTGCAAGGTTTTCTGCGATTTCGAAGGCGTCTTGGCCGCAAACGCAAAGCAGGGTGGCCGCCTTCAAGCTATCTTCCCTCACTTGGTTTGCCTTGAAGTAGTTCTCCATTCTGGATACGTAGGACTCCCACCGCTCTGGATGTGAGACGTCGAATTCCGAAAGCCTTCCGATTTCGCCATCTTCGGATCTTCAGGAGACGGGTCTATCAGCCAGCCTACCCCCGAATGCGCACCGGATTGGCGGGCAGCTGCCGAGTCGACGCCTTTCCTCTTTCGCCGCTCAGGACTCCTTGGGTAAGCTTACACTTCTTCCTTTCCAGGTAGTGCAAGGCATCCCACCTTCGTCGCCAGTGTTGAGTCCGTGGCGGGAAAACAGACACGAGAAGCAGCTGGAGTTCTCAGTTTCATTTATTCAGCGTTCAGCTTACAGGAAGATGGCTTCAGCCTCGCCCAACGCCTCGCAGCCTCTTATATAGGCAACTCCCGGGTAAATGTGTTACTTTTCCCGCGCCAGCACCCGCGCATGCGCATGGCGCTGGCGACAGCCTGTCTGGTCCCGGGCAGCTTTGCACCTGCCCGGGACTGCCTGCAAACGCCCGAGCCGTTTGCAAGGCTCGGGACATAACAGGAACTACATCAGCTCTTTTCCAGTCCTCTGGTAGTTCCTCAGTGCTCCAAGAACTTTGAAAAATATAGTTCACTGGTTCTGAGATCACATCTTCCAGTTCCTTGAGAACCTTGGGGTGTAATCCATCTGGTCCTGGTGATTTGAGGCTGGACAGGTGCTCACTTATCATTTTCTTGCCTTTCTTTTTTTAATTTTAATTTTTCCTTTTTCTCTTTACAAACAACAAAATACAAAGTACATTTTTTCTTTTTTCTTAACAATACTATGTCCTATATCTCTTACATTTATTTACATTTATTTACATTACTTCTCATACTTTTTTATTCCTCAATTCTCACCAATTGTAATACATGTCCCATATCTTATAAAATTCTGAAACTTCTTTGTCCTTTATTTCTAAGGTAAGTTTGTTCATCTCAGCACAATCTAATATCTTGCATATAATCATTGCATTTGTTGGTATGTTTTCCCTTTTCCAGCATTGCGCATATGCAATGCGTGCTGCAGTTATTATATGTATAATGATGTATTGAAATTGTTTTTCCATTTTTGGATTGATTATGCCTAATAGAAATATTTTGGGTTTAAGTTCAATTTGTTGTTTTGTTATTTCCTGTAACCATCTCCTTATCTGCTCCCAATAGATCTTTGCTTTGGGACATTGCCACCACATATGGTAAAATGTTCCTTCTTTATTTTTGCATTTCCAACAATCCGGATTCATATTTTTATATATCTTGGCCAATCTCGCCGGTGCTAAATGCCATCTGTAGAACATTTTATATTGGTTTTCTTTGTATGCAGTTGACAGTGTTAGTTTATAATTTCTGTTCCCTATTCTTTCCCATTCATCTAATTCTATATTTCTACCTATATTTCGTGCCCATGCTATCATTGGACCCTTTACTATTTCTTCTTCCAATTCAACTTCTAATAAGAGTTTATAGGTTTTTCTTAAAAATTTTCCTCCCTTGTTTGTCAGTATTTTGTCCAATTGCTGTGGCATCCAACTTATTCCATACTCTTCCATGTCTTTGCTATATTTTGATTGTATCTGTATATATGGCCACCAATAAATAGTTATTCCCTGTTCTTTTAATTCATCTCTTGATCTTAGCTTCTCTTGGTTATCTAATAATTCTTTGTACCTTATCATCTTTGTTTTATCCAGTGTGTTTGGGTGAATCATTGCCTCCATTGGTGAGATCCAAATTGGAATTTTCGTATAATATATTTTTTTAACTTTTTCCCATGTCCAAATTAATGCATCCCTTATCTGATGCCGGTAAAAGTATGTGTGGGATTTCTTATCTTTTCCCCATAAAAATGCATGCTATCCAGCCTGTAAATCATGACCTTCAATTGTTAAAACCCTTTTGTTTTCTAAGTTTATGCAATCGCTAATCCAAAGCAACCCCGCTGCTTGGTAATAGATTTCCCATTTTGGGAGCCCAAGGCCACCTCTACTTCTACTGTTCTGTAATGCTTTAACATTTATTCATGCTTTTTTACCTAACCATATAAATTTCTTAATCATTTTGTTTAATTTGTCAAAAAAAATTCCCCAATTTTATTGGAACTGTTTGAAATAGATATAACAATTTTGGTAGAATATTCATTTTAATCACCGAAATCCTTCCTAACAATGTTAATTGTAATTTCCCCCAAATCTCTAAATCTTTTTGTATTTGTAGTATCATTTTTTATAATTATCTTCTTTTATTGAAGAACATCTTATGGTGAGCCAAATTCCTAAATATTTAATCTTTTTTACAATTTGCAACCCCAATTTTTCTTCTAATCCCTTTTTTGTTTTTCAGTTAATTTGTTTACTAATATTTTAGTCTTTTCTTTGTTTATTTTTAGTCCTGCCACCATTCCATATTTTTCTATTTCATTCATTAGAATATTACCTCTTTTTAATGGTTCCTCTATAAAAAACACCAAATCGTCTGCAGATGCCTGTGTCTTGTATTCATCTGTTTTAACCTTTAGTCCTTTTATCTCTTTGTTGTTTCTAATTTGAGTTAATAGCACTTCTAACATTAGAATAAAAAGTAGAGGTGACATTGGACATCCCTGTCTTACTCCTTTATTAATTTCTACCTTCTCTGTATTCTCCCCATTTATTATTACTCTAGCCTTTTGTATTTTGTATATTGACTTTATCATTTGTTCAAACTTCTCTCCAAATTTCATATCTTCTATCTGTTGGAACATAAATTGCCAATTAAGTTTATCAAATGCCTTCTGAGCATCTAAAAATACTAATGCAACCTGTTTTTTGGGGTATGCTTCATAATATTCCAGGACATTTAACACCATTCTCGTGTTGTTCCCAATTTGTCTGGTAGATAAAAAACCATTTTGATCCAAATGTATTATTTGATTTAGTATTATTTTTAGTCGTTCCGCAATTATTGTAGTAAAAATTTTATAATCCGAATTCAACAACGAAATTGGTCTATAATTTTTTATTTGTTTAGGATCCGTATCTTCTTTTGGAATAAGAGTTATGTTGGCTTCTGTCCAGGAGTCTGGTAATTTGGCTTTCTCCAATACATCATTATATACATCTAATACTATCATTTCCAGGTCTTCATAAAGAGTCTTATATACTTCCCCTGGTAGACCATCTGGCCCCAGGGCTTTATTATTTTTTTGTTTTTGTACTGCCATTCTTAGTTCCATTGCTGTTATTTTTTTATTCAATAATTCTCTGTGTCCTTCTTTTAATTCCGGGAGACCATTGGCCTTTAGATATTGTTTTATATTCTCCTCCTCTTTTCCTCTTTTTTATATAGAAACTCAAAGTATTTCTGAATTATTTTTTTCTTTTCATCTATTTTATATTGCAACTCTCCATTTTTGTCCTGTAGTTCCTGAATAAATCTTTTTTCCTTCTCTTTTTTTAATTTGTAAGAAAGCCACCTCTCAGGTTTATTTGCATGTTCAAAAAATTTTTGTTTAGTTACTTTCAGTTCTCTTGCCAATTCCTCTTGTTCTACTATATTTAATTTATGTTTAGCCAGAGTCATTTCCACTTGAATCATTTCATCTTGTGGCTCCCGTTGTAATTTGGATTCTAATTTTTTAATCTTTTCCAGAAGTATATTTTGTGTCTGCCTTTTCACCTTATTTTTCCTAGGTGTACATGCTACTGCTATACCTCTCAGTTATGCTTTGGCAGTATCCCATATAATTTGTAATGATGCTTGTTATTTTGTATTCTCTTTAAAAAATATTTCCATTTCTTTTTTAATCCTTACAGTGAATTTTCTTTCCTTTAAAATTTGGGTATTAAGTGTCCATCTTCTCTTTGCTTTTTTCTGACCTGTCCACACTATTTTCAAAGGATTATGATCTGCCCATATATTTGGCATTATTTCTATTGTCTCCACTTCTTGTCCTATTTCCCCGTTCATCCATGCCATATCCAACCTAGACCATGATTTGTGTGGATTTGAAAAAAAAGTATATTCCTTTTTTATGGGATTCTGTTTCCTCCATTGGTCAAATAAATTAAATTCATGTGCCATCTCAAAAAATGTTTTTGGTAGTGTTTTCCGCTTCTTTTTATTTTTCATATTGATAATATAATCCATTTTTACATCCACTATCACATTATAATCTCCTATTATACAGATGTTTCCTTGTCCAATTTCTATAAGTTTTTTGTGTAGATCTTTATAAAATTCTTTTTGATTTTCATTTGGAGCATAAATTGTCACCAATAACCATGATTTCTGTTCCATTTTTAGTTCTATTATTAATACCCTTTCCTCTGTATCTTGATATTTTAAGTTGGCTCTAATTCCTTTTCTAATATAAACTGCTATTCCTCTCTGTTTTTGTTCCATTAGTGATGTATATAATTCTCCTAATTTTGGAAATTCCAAATATTTTCTGTGTTGCTTTTTTGTCTGTACTTCTTGTAGACATACTATGTCTACACCTTGTTTGACTAATTTAGTTAATATTTGTTTTCTTTTAGCTGGTGCATTTAGGCCATTGACGTTAATTGATACTAATTTAATTTTCTCATCCATTATTTTACTTCTCAGTTTGTCTTGCTCTCAAACCTGTTCCTCTTTCTTTCCTTTGTCTTTTTACCTCCTTACTTTCTATCTCCTTCTCTCTCTCTTTTAACTCTAGTTGCTGATCTTCCTGACTTTTAGATTCTAATTCTAATTCTTCCCTACTACTATTCTCTTCTTCTTCCCCTTCTAGTTGTTCATAAAATTCTCTTGCCTTGTCCAGGCTGTCAATTTTAATCCTTCTCTCCTGCCATGTTATCAGCATCCCCTTGGGGATTAACCATCTAAATGGAATGTTTTTTTTTAATGATATGTGCACTGAGACATCTGTAGTTTCTTCTCTGTTCCCTCACTTTCTTTGGAATTTGTTTTAATGTTTGAATTTCTATGCCTTTGTAAATTATTGGATCTTCCCTTGTAATCCTGTGTATTAGGTCTCTAATTTTTTTTCTGGCGAATCTTATATGTATCTCATGTGGTAGTTTATTCCTTCGTGCATAATTTGTGTGGATTCGGTACACCTCATCTATTTCTGGCAATATTTCTTGTTATCTCTTTGTAGAGCTTCTGCTATCAGCTCTACCATAATGGTGCCCAAATCCTCTTCCTTATCCTCCACCACATTTTGAAATCTTAAGTAAAACGCCGCCCTGTCAATTTCCAGATGTATAATCGATTCTTCCAATTTTTTGTTAGTTCCCGTCAATTTTTTATCTACTGTCGACTTTTTCCCCTATTTTATCCAATCCTACTTCTACTGTCAATATTCTTTCTTCATTTTTCTCAATTGTTTGTTGTATTGTTTCAATCTTATTATCTAATTTATTCATATCTCCTCTCATTTCAATATGGTTTTTTGACATTGTCTCCTGCATCTTTAACATTGTTTCTTGAATAGTTAATAATGTTGTCTGCATGCTTTGCATATTTGATAGTACATTTTGCTTCTCTGTCCCCAACATTCCCTCTGTTGTTCTCTGTCCAGGAGGAAATGAAGGTGTCAGTGCTAAACTTGACATTGTTTTTTTCCCTGTTCTCAGTGTTGTCATCTTAATATCTTATTTATCAAATACTTTTTATTCTTTATGTCTCTTTGTTTAGTCAGCAAGCTTTCTAACTTTAGTCCTCTCTTCTCCTTCCCTAATCCTCTTCACTTTCTTTTTCCCTTTTTTATTTAACACCCAATCTCTCTAGGACTCCATTTTTTTTCTCCCAACTTATATCATCAACCATTAGTCTCTCACCGCCCAATCACGTCCTCTAGCCGTCTCCTTCACTTTCCAAACTTTCCACACTTCCAGGTTCACTTCTTCTGTTCTCTTCCAGCCTCGCTTTCTCCAATCTTCTATAACATGCTGTTTCTCCGATCTCTCTCGAATTCCAAGTTTCAATCCATTCCTGTCACTTTCACTTCCGTATTACGCCCTCTCGCTGATTCCTTCACTTTTCAAACTTTCTCTTCCTTTCTGCTCCAACTTCACTATTCTCCAATCTTCCCCGATGTACTGCTTCTCCGCATTTGGCACGCATTCTCTCTATCAATTTCTCTCCTTCTAACCGTTCTTATCACTTTCGCCACTGCAACACGTCCTCTCCCCGTTTCTTTCCTCCTTTCTCCTCCGACCTCACTTTCTACAATCTTCTACAGCTCGCTGCTCTTCCGTCCTTCTCAGATCACCATTTTCACCACCGTTTCGGCTGTCAGCTTGCCAATCATCTTCTTTCATTTCTCTCCTCCTAGTCACTTCGCCTTCTACTCCGTCTCCATCTTTTGTCTCCTAATCTCTCCTTCCACAATCTTTCACCTTCTTTGTTCTGTGCTAAAACATTTACCACAAAACTTTTCTTTCTTTTTATCTCACTCCTGTTAAACCTCTGGCTATTTTAATGCTGAATTACAGCTCTTCCCGCCGGGTTGCCACTTGTGCTGAGGATTCCCTCTTCTATTGAGCTTCTTTACAACACCAGAACCAACAGACAGGTAAATCTTTTAGACTTTTCTAGTACTTTGGAATATTTTTATAAATTTTTAACTCACTCTATGACAAGTCCATTAAGTATATCTTGCTTCCGCATCCTCTGTGGTTAGTCGAGGCCTCAGATCCGCCATCCATTGAAAGCAGAAGTTTTCAAGTTGGATTTAAGGGTTTTCCTCCATCGTAGTGGGTGCTTGCCTCTCACCTCACTACTCCCCAAGGCTTCACCCTTTTCACACGTAGCCCTCCAGACTCTCTGTGCCCCCGAAGGGTCTCCAAACTTGAAAAGATCAGAGTTAGAGGACGGAGACTATCCTCTTTCCCCTGCACCACCTCAACGTCTTCTTGTCTGTCTTAACTTGTGTTTCTATACTGTTTTTTATGGCACTATTTTTGATAGGTTGGTTTTTCCCTTGTGTAAAGACAGATGCAAAAAATGAGTTAAATAGTTCTGCTTTCTCCCTATTGCTAGTTACCTTCTAATACTTTCACCCACTAATGGACCAATTGTTTCCTTCACTTTTTTCTTATTTTTTTACATGTTGAAATAAGCTTTTTTTTATTTGAATATTGCTTAATGCTAGCAAAACTAACACTAGGGGAAGTGTTTTCTCCCTTTAAGGTTAAAAAAAAATTGAATCCTTATTGAGGATTCTTTTAATATGAATCAGGATAAAGATTAATGAGTCAATAGAAGTATATATATTATCTCCCATAGCAATGTGAAGTAGAGATGGTTAAACTGATCCTTTTATCCAAAGATGAGAATATATTTACGTTAGCTTCTATATTGAAATTGCTTCCAGATTTTGTGCTTACAATGATAAAGAAAATGAAAACTTGATTTTGTTTTTGTTAATCAGACAGGTGTATTGTTATAGAAATGGTTTGTACATATTGTTGTGTAAAAGCAAAAAGTTGTGACTAATGTTATCTTCTACTGTGTTAAAGAGAGTCGGAAGTTGGTGCCTTTTTCTTTTTTTCATTTCTGTTTGTATTTTATATTTTGATAAATCAATAAAATTATTTAAAAAAATAAAACAAAACAAAGAACCTGGTGGCTGGACACTATTAAAGCTGACACCAGCCAGAGCATAGAAAAACATAAAGAAATAGTGCAAGATTGGAAGATGTGGAGAGACCTGGCCCATAGAATTGTCAAGTCAGACTTGACTGAAAGGATAAAATCATCATCATCATCATCATCATCATCATCATCATGTTTACAAAGATATTTAAGTGTGTATGTACCTATATATTATATTGTCATTTCCTTAAGTATTGCAACCTGTAATTTAACAAATAAAACAGATGTATTAATGGCAAAAGTCATGAAGCACGTCTAGAGAACACAAGTTCAGCAAAGTGACAATTGATCACTTCTTAAGAATTCTGTCCATGTGTTTTGAAATAAATATTAAACCTGGAGTACCTGATTGTGCATTTCAAATTAGATATATGCTTGGAAATAGATATACCTGGGTAATTGTTGAGTGGCAAAAAAGGCTCAGTAAGGTAGCCCACACAAACCATCACAGCATCAAAAATGGTTGAGTTCTGCTTCCCATTGGCCTCCGTAACAACTTCCCACTGGCCAGTGTTAGAGAAATGAGGACACTTCTTTATGCTGATCACTTTTGTCTGAAACATTTCCAGAAAATAATCAGTTGTGATAATCCCCAAAAAACTGAACTTGTAAATACAGGTAGTCCTTGACTTACAACCACAATTGAGCCCAAAATTTATGTTGCTAAGTGAGACATTTGTTAAGTGAGTTTTGCCCCATTTTACAACTTTTCCTGTCACTGTTGTTAAGTGAATCATTGCAATTGTTAAGTTAGTAGCATGGTTGTTGAGTGAATTGACTTTGCTTGTCAGAAGATTGCAAAAGCTGATCACATGACCCCATGACACTGCAACCTTCATAAATATGAGCCAGTTGCCAAGCATCCGAATTTTGATTATGTGACCATGGGGATGCTGTAATGGTCATAAGTATGAAAAAATGTCATAAGTCACTTTTTTCAATGTTGTAACTTTGAAAGGTCACTAAATGAACTGTTGTAAGTCGAGGACTATCTGTACATCTGGCTTTATGTTCATCTGCATCTTTTTAGATTAGAAATAGATGAATGTACAAATGAAGGTGAATAAGTGAACAAGCCAAAACCATATATTTGCTCTGGAAAGTTTACACTGCGAGAGGCAAAGTCTGGGTTTCAATTGCACTAAACCAAAGTCTCTAGAAATAAATGTACAGCTTTTTTTAAATGTGAACATTCAGCTAATGATACTTTTAAAGCTTACCTTTAATTGAATGTATTTCTGGAGATCAAAATGTTTTGTATACATCCTCAGATATTCCAGGAGTTGGTGGTGGGATAAAAAGGATGGAAAGTTTTCTGGAAATGGAAAATCTGTGAAGGCAGACATCTCCTTAGAGGTGTTACTAACCATTGACTTGTACACGCTAGGTCTTCCATCTTCAACATAGTCCTATCCATAAAATATTACAAGATTATGTATTAAAAAGCCAGTTCAGTATAGTAGTTAAGGCACCAGGCTAGAAACCAGGAGACCATGATGTGTGGGCAGGATTCCAAAAGGCACTTGGAATCTAGGTTTCTTAATTTAAAAAAGGGGTAAACTGCAATTTTCTTGAGTTTAGACAGATTCAGGTAACATTTTCAGGCAAACTTCCATTTTCAGATCAAGCACAATACTTGTTATGAAAAGGATATGTGAGGTGATTAAAGAAGGCTAATTACAATTCTATTATCTGTCGGCAAATATCTGATAAAATACAAACATTTAAACCCAAAAAACTGGAAGGTGGCAAATAGATCAAATACTGTACAATACTTGAAAGCTGGATATATTCTTTCATGATTCACCCACTGTGAATAAAAAATGGAACTTATTTTGCACAATAAAGGGCATAACAATAAAAATTAATTAATTAATTGATGTTGATGTTACTATTCACATGATGTAACTCCTAAAAAGTTTATGCCTGGAGAACATTGAGGTTAATGAGACACTAACGTGTAGAAAATTATGGGATTTTGCCATTATTTTGCAGTATCATCCTTTTTCCTTATATGAAATATGTATGTGTTTGTGTGTGTGTGACTGTTATACAATAAGAATAGAATAGAGCTGGAAGGGACCTTGGAGGTTTTCTAGTCCAGCCCCCTGCTTAAGCAGGAGAACCTATACCATCTCAGACAGGTGGTTGTCTAACCTCTTCTTAAAAATCTCCAGTGATGGAGCACCCATGATTATTGGGGGTAAGCTGTTTCACTGGTTAATTGTCCTCACTGTCAGGAAGTTTCTCCTTAATTTCAGGTTGCTTCTCTCTTTGATCAGTTTCCAACCATTGTTTCTCATCCTTCCCTCTGGTGTTCTGGTGAACAACGTGACCCACTCTTCCTTGTGGCAGCTTCTCAGATACTGGAATACTGCTATCATGTCTCCCCTATTTCTTCTTTTCCTTAGACTAGCCAAACTCAAGTCCTGCAGCTGTTCTTCATATTTTTTAGTCTTCAGGCCTTTGATCATCTTAGTTGCTCTTCTCTGAATTTTTTTCAAACGCTTAACATCTTTTTTGTGATATGGTGACCAAAAGTGCCTGCAATATTCCAGGTGTGGTCTTACTAGGGTTTTATAAAGCGGTACTAATGCTTTGTGTGATCTTGATTCTATGCCTCTGTTTATACAACCCAGGATTGTATTAGCTTTTTTGGTTGCTGCTGCACACTGCTGGCTTATAGTCAAGTGATCATCCACTAGGACTCCAAGGTCCCTCTCACAGTTACTGATTTTAAGCCAGGTCTTGCCCAATCTGTACTTGTACCTTTGATTTTTCCTGCCTAAATGTAAAACTTTGCTTTTCTCCACACTGAAACTCATTTTATTGGATAGGCCCATTGTTCAAGTTTGTCCAGTCCTTTTTGGATCCTGAGTTTGTCTTCTGGGGTGTTGGCTACTCCTGTCAGTTTGGTGTCATCTGCAAATCTGATGAGTTCCCCTTCAATTCCCTCATCTAAGTCATTTATGAAGATATTGTGGAAAACTGGGCCTAAGACGGAGCTTGTGATACCCCTGTCAGGGCCCACTTCAAAACCTCATCCCAAGAAAGCAGAACTCATGGAAGCAGTGTCTTCCAAAAGGAAGTTTTATTAGGAGAAGCTGATAGCAGGCATAATAGACAGGATCTGAGGATTTTCCGCTCAAATCAATAGGTTAAAAGAGTCCCAAGCAAACCCCACCCCAATAGTTCATCTGGTCAATTCAAATGGGCCAATCCCCAAGTGTTAAGTCTGTTATGGGAAAAAGCTGATAACAGTGATCTGCCTCTGGCTTGTAGCAATGTTTGTTGGGTCTTCGCACCTTCCCTTCCAAAACAGGAGATAAACCAGATGGCCAGAGGCGCATTCCTTTCCCCCCTTTCAAGCTGACATCAAGGGGAGACAGTTCAAAGAGCATGTAATCAGAGACAGCAGAAGAATTACATTGTAGTGATAGAGAGAAACAAAGAGGCAGCCCTCAGCATCTTCCCTCCCTTCTAGTAGTATGGCAGAACCCAGAATAATAGAAGAAATAGAAGTAGGAAGAGCCCCTTTAACAATATGGGTTCTGACAACCCCACTGCTTAATTCTCTCCATGTGGCTGTAGTGCCACTGAGGACTACTCATTGAGTACGGTTTGTCAGCCACCTGCAGATCCATCTGGGGGTAATGTTGTCTATTCCACCTTTTTCTAGCTTGCCAAGGTTGTGGTTTACTTTGTCAAATGCCTTACTGAAATCTAAGTATGTCCACAACATTTCAGCGGTCTACTAATTTAATCACTTTATCAAAGAATGAAATAAGATTGGTTTGGCATGGTCTGTTTTTAACAAACCCGTGCTGGCTACTGGTTATGACTTTGTTTGCTTCTAGTTGTTCGCAGATCTATTTTTTTATTATCTTTTACAGTTTGTTCTATTTTCTATCTGTATAACATATGATCTGATTTAAAGAAAGAATTGGGAAAATAGTTATTAAGTACAATTATTAAATATTTTGTGAATATTTTGAAATTATTGTTAGCGTAAATATATTGAATACTTTTCATCAGAACCTGCTAAGGGAAAAATAGTTTTATTTATCAGTTAATTTGCTGTTTAAATAATAAAACCTGTAATAAAAGCCACCCTCACATAGTCCAAACATTCAGTTGTCTCTTTTCATAGTTAAGCAACTTAACACATGGGCATGGTAGAGATGAGTCTACACTCCACTGTCATTAACTTACTGTGAATCGCCACAATCCCCCTATGTCATCACTTTGCTCAAAACAGGTTGGCTCCAGTCCCTCTTCCAGGCAGCACTTAATGGAGGTCAGTCCGCTCACACCGGCTCCAACAATGGCTACTTTTTTCACCATGGCTTCTTGAAGCAAGAAAAGCAGAAACATATGGGGTTACTATTTAAAAAAATGAAAGTAGCTTCCTGTTTTAGCTTGTCATGACAGCTGGTTGGACCTTTCTTAAAAATTGTGTTTAAATTACACTTTTAGGTCTGAATTCTGATTTCCTCTGGGTAGAATACAGAATAACACAGTTGGAAAGGATCTTGGAGGCTTTCTAGTCCATCCCCCTACTCAAGCAGGAGACCTCATACTATTTCAGACAAATGGTTGCCCAGACTCTTGTTAAAAACCTCCAATATGGAGCCTACAACTTCTGAAGGCAAACCATTTTATTGATTAATTGTCCTCACTGACCGGTAACTTCTCCTTAATTCTAGGTTGGATCTGTCTTTTTAAAGCTTCCATCTGTTACTTCTTTTCCTGCCCACAGGTGCTTTTGAGAACAGGTTGATCCCCTCTTTGTGACAGCCCCTCAAATATTGGAACACTGTTATCCTGTCATCCATAGTTCTTCATTAAACTACTAGACAATAGCAGTTTCTGCAACTGTTCATCGTATGGTTTAGCCTGCACTCCCCTAATAATCTTTCTTGCTCTTCTCTGTACTCTTTCTAGAGTCTCAACATGTTTTCCAAATGTGACCTTGCTAGTGCAGTATAAAAGGGTGCTAATGCTTTACATGATCTTGATACTATCCCTCTTTTATGCAGTCTAGGACTGTATAGGCCTTTTTGGCAACTGCAGGATACTGCTGTTAATTGTTGTCTATTAGAATTCCCAGACCCTTTTCACAGTTACTGCTATTGAACCAGGCATCGCCTATTCTATATCTATGCATTTGATTTTTCTTGCATGTGAAAAATCTTATTTTTCTCACCACTGAACTGCATTTTGTTGGATAGGGCCCAATGTTCAAGACTGTCAAGATCCTTTTGGATGTTGAGCCTATCTTCTAGAGTGTTGGCTATTCCCCCCAGCTTGGGGGGATTAAAAAGGGTGCATAATTGAAAAGAGGTTTGCAGGAAGTTCCATTTCATTAATGGATTGTTGGTACAATTCACATGGCCTGTTAATAGCTTATCATTTACTAGAATTCTTGCAAAAATATGTGGAACAGGATAAATGCTTTCATCATGCCTGATCTTCAGATCCATGCCCGGGCTTGGTATATGATTTTCTGAGACAAACTGTGGCAAATAACCCATACGATATGGTAGTATATGTATTCTCGTTGTTTATTCTTATTTCTAAAGACACAGATATTCAGATATGATGAATTGAATTGATTATTCATATTTTGATTATCTTTAGTATAACTTAAATGCAGTATAGTCATTTTTGAATATAAATGGAAGATAATTAGAAAAATTTATAGGAGGCAGAAGAACAGGTAAAAGTAGGTCACGAAGGTATAAATAAAGGAATTGTGCAGAGAAATAGAATTAACTGAAAAGCTGAAATTGGAACTGACCAGGAGACTCTAGTCTGAAAGAAAGAGATAACTAGATATCATATGATTCTCAGGGACAGTCAATCTAATCAATGTTAGCAAACATTTTTGAGGTAACAGGTGCTGGCCTGGGGAAGGACACCATATTACTAAGCAAAGCCTCCCTTGTTGCATGATTGTGTGTATTAGAAGGAACATTGCTCATAAATGCATCTTTTTAATACAGCCAGGTGATGGTCTCAGCTTGGGCTGTTTAATCTCTCTGCATATCTATCTTGCAGAGCAGGACTATCTTCAGATTTGTGTAGGATACAGATATGGTCAGATAAACAGAATAGTGTCTTAGCTTTATGCATAAGAATTCTGTGCAAAACAGTGCATATTATTGGAGACATGTCAATAGTCAAATATATTTTGGCAGATTTCATATTGAGTCCCAAGTTTCTTGGAAATGAAAGTGAGAAGCGATTTACTTATTACACTCACAAAAGATCAAAATATTCTAATGATTTTATTTGGATTAGTTTACAGTGTTTCAGGATATGATAAATTAATATATAGCAAATGATTATACATGCCTAACAGGGTGAAGACTGAACAGTCATATCTGTGCCAATAGGAAAGTTGATATTAGTCAGGTTAAGGTATTGAAGCTCTTGTGAGTTAGAAAAATAACACAGAAGATGAGATATATAGAAGAAGAAAAAAGGAGGAACCTTGTTGTAGTTGTCCCAAGAATAAACTTTATGTTATGTTTAATAACCTTTCAAAAGAAAGTTACTTGAGGTACTATAAGCAGTCATCAATACGAGGGCAATTTGGAAATAAACCTCTGTTTGGTTATCAATGACAGATACTCGCAAATACAGAACTTGTATTATACACCTTAGAAAACTACAACATTACATTACTTTTCAACATAATCACCATTCAAATTGTCATAATGTTTTACAAGGTTTGAGATTTCTTCTGCAAAAATATCTGCCACCTGGGAATCAAGCCACCCTGTAACAGCATTGTGAAGTGTGTTGTCATCGTCAAACCGGTGCAACACAAGCCACTGTTTCTTTTAAAAAAACTGGTTCATTTTCAATTGATCTAGCAGACGAGTCAACTGCAACACAACCTTCTCCTTCCACTCCTTACTGCCTACTGAACTACTGTGCACAGCGCCATAGGACGGGCATTGCTATGGCGCACATGTTCAAACAGAGGTTTATTTCTGAATTCCCCTCATATAAGTATCCAGAACTTGTAAAGGCATAGATATTATCCTCCTAAACCCAGAGTGTTGTAATTCATGACAGTAATATTGAGGGCTCCAGAATCTCTCTGTGCTTTCATATAAACCAGGCTTGATTAGTGTGGAAATATTTATAACTTAACATTCTAAAATATTTCAATTAGCCATTAAGTATTTATCGAAGACTAAAGCTCCGTTTTTTATATAGGATGTAAAGGAGGACACAAATCATGGCTGGAAATGTTTCACCAATGTTCAGTGTTAATAGTTTTCTACCATTAAAGCACAGGGGCCAAAGATAAAAAATTCTATGTCCTGCCCCGCCACGAGGAATGATATGGATAGGAAAAAGGGCATAAATATTCAAAGGGAAAGATAACTGTGGTCAGTTCCTTTCCTATTAATAAATGCATAGTTGAGAGTATTCAAGTGTAGTCTTTCTGTCTTCCAGATGACAAGTGTGGCCAACATTCCTCTTCACAGCTCTATAAGGCATAGGAGATTCCTCCCCTATCAATTACAATATCACTGATGACATCTTATTGGCAACTGATGCACTCCATCACATGATATGGTAGTATGGTGAACGAAAGCATTCAACTGAAAAGACTGTAGTGTCTGAGTTGGCTGGCAATCCTTCTGTTTGCTTTCCTGCTTCTTTTTGCTGAAACACTTAAATTCTTATCTTGAAAATATTGCATAACTTTTTGAAAATGGATTGTTCCCAGTCATCTGGAAATCCCTCCATTACAAAATTAATTGAGTTTCAGGATCTTGAAGTTTTCCTGCACTGTTGACTTAAATCTGCACATTTAAAATATTACCTGGATCAGCTATAGTCCTCATGAAATCAAAATCCTCTCACAGTTAATTTTTAACTGATAATGAGTTGGCATTTCAACTTTCAGTTAGAGTACAATCAGCTTGTCAATCAGAAATAATAGCTAGGAAGCTATACTAATTGTTAGAAAGGTATGGCTGTTTTTCTGTATTGAAATTAAATGGATCTGCTAATAACAAAATTACACAGATGTATTTACTCTTAATACAATTTGAGACAGAATAACATCTGTTTTCCATTCCTTAAAGAGATTTTGTTTTCTAAATGCTAAGTGCAATACACACTGCCTTGGTTTAGAGCAGGGACAACTTTAATATGTATGGACCTACTCCCAGAATTCTAGGAGTTGAATGGATGGGATAGCTGCTCATACATCTTAAAGCCAAGTTTGAAAAAAAAAATAGTTTAGAGAAACAGTTGATAGTACACATATTTCCCAGTAAGAGGATTGGGCAGAGCTGCCATTGTGACGAAACAACATATAGAGATGAGACAGGGTTGATTATAAGAAAATTATAAGAAAACAGCCTTACCTTTCTAACAATTACTACAGCTTCCTAGCTACAGGAAAAGAGAGCAATATTGTAATAATCCTAATATTGTTGGGGGCAATGTAAATATATGTATACATTGCTTACTGGTGTACACCGCTTAGAGAGTGCTTACACTTAAAGCGGTATATAAGTCTCATAAATAAATAAATAAATATTTAGATGTAAAGTGTAAGAATTTTTATACATGGGAAAAGAAGCAATTAGCAGAATATTGTCATACATATATTGACATATATGAAATTATAAGAGAAAATCATAATAACTATACACAATATTAGCAGAACCCAAAGACTGATGTGGTGAATATAATTAAATCAAAGATGAAAATTAAGCATAAACAGAAGAATTAATACATTTAAAAATAAAACAATACCTTTATTATGACAATTTCAGATGTCTAAAAAGTATGCAAGCTTTCAAGTTCTCCAGACCTTTTCTTCATGCAAGACTATAAACATAGTAATCAGTTAGTAGATAAAATGGAGAAAAAAATGATGATAAACATAATTCTGCAGTTACATTTTTTGTATGGTATGGTATACCATTTTCATGGTATTTTGGTTAAAAATTTAAGGATTGGCATATCCACAGATGGGCTCATCCACAAATATATGCAATAGTTTTAAAATAAACCTTTTTTTTTAACAGAAGGAACAACATGCCAGTAGGTATGAAGTACAATGTCTATTTCTTAGCTAAGTCATAGGAAACATTTTTGTGCTGGACATCCATTTAAAAAATTTGAAAATATGAGGTAAATGGGTGGGAAAGCTGCTCATAAAATGGCTGGCACATGTGGCTGGCACAATACACATAGAAGGTTCTACTTTTTCTAATACCCTGAAATACCTCTAATATGATCATCTTGCCTTTGCCTGTTCTCTGGGCAGTGGGTGCCTCCAAGCAAGGCACTTAGTGGAATACCCTTCCCTTTGTTTTTATTATGACTAATGTCCATGCAAGGTACAGAAATAAGGATGCTGTCAGAGATTTTATTGTATGTTGATGCTAAATTATTTTCTTAATTAAAATATTTGTTAAGCTAGAAAAGAAATATGAGAAAGTAGTGGACTTCCAGTTTGCTGACGCAGCTGCCATGGGCGGTTAGAAGGCGAGGTCCATCTTCCACGTCTGATTTCGCACTGCTGGGGGATCCTGGAAAGGGTTGAAAGTCACCCTGTAAAGGCGACGAACAAGGAGGGGATCCCCACTTGATCACAGGAGGACAGTAGCCCTTCTGCTTGATCCGGGACAGCCCTCCAAACTGGCAGATGAAAGACCGGCCATAGAAATATGGCTCATCACTAGGCTGCAGACAGCCAAAGTCAAATCTACCACCAGGCACCCATAAAGCAGTGCAGATGAGACTGGGTGAGATCTACCTTTCTTTAATCCTAACTATTTTTTTGTACCTGCATAAGCTGCCCAACCCCTTTATGGATTACTGCCTTGTCGTGGCGAAGGGGCTTGTGTAACTCAATGAAGCTATAAGCTATGCCGTGCAGGGCCACCCAAGATGGACAGGTCATAGCAGAGAGTTCTGACAAAATGTGATCCACTGGAGAAGGAAATGGCAAACCACTCCAGTATCTTTGCCATGAAAACCCCATGGACAGTACTAAAAGGCAAAAAGATATGACGCTGGAAGATGAGCCCCTCAGGTCGGAAGGTGTCCAATATGCTACTGGGGAAGAGCAGAGGGCTAGTACTAGTAGCGCCAGAAAGAATGAAGCGACTGGGCCAAAGCCGAAAGGACGCTCAGCTGTGGATATATCTGGTGGTGAAAGGAAAGTCCGATGCTGTAAAGATTTTTTCTCCATAGGAACCTGGAATGTAAGATCCATGAATCAAGGCAAGCTAGACGTAGTCAAAAAAGAGATGACAAGACTGAACATCGACATCTTAGGAAATCAGCGAACTAAAATGGACAGGAATGGGTGAATTTAACTCAGATGACCATCAGGTATACTACTGTGGGCAAGAATCCCTCAGAAGAAATGGAGTAGCCTTCATAGTCAATAAAAGAATAGGAAAAGCAATACTGGGATACAATCCCCAAAATGACAGAATGATCTCAATTCGAATCCAAGGCAAACCATTCAATATCACAATAATCCAAATCTATGCCCCAACCACTGGTGCTGAAGAGGATGAAATTGACCGGTTCTATGAAGCCCTACAGCACCTTATAGAATTAACACCAAAAAATGATGTCCTTATCATCATGGGGGATTGGAATGCTAAGGTAGGAAGCCAAAAGATAACCGGAATAACAGGCAAGTTTGGCCTTGGAGTACAAAATGAAGCAGGGCACAGGCTGATAGAATTTTGTCAAGAGAATACGATGGTCATAACAAACACTCTTTTCCAACAACCCAAGAGACGGCTCTACACATGGACATCACCAGACGGTCAACATAGAAATCAGATTGACTATGTGCTCTGCAGCCAAAGATGGAGAAGCTCTATACAGTCAGTAAAAACAAGACCAGGAGCTGACTGTGGCTCAGATCATGAGCTTCTCGTTGCAAAATTTAGGCTTAAATTGAAAAAAGTAGGGAAAAGCACTAGGCCACTCAGGTATGAACTAAATCATATTCCTAATGAATATACAGTAGAGGTGACAAATAGATTTAAGGAATTAGATCTGATAGACAGAGTGCCTGAAGAACTATGGATGGAAGTTCGCAACATTGTACAAGAGGTAGCAACTAAAACCATCCCAAAGAAAAAGAAATGCAAGAAAGCAAAATGGCTGTCTGGGGAAGCTTTGCAAATAGCTGAGGAAAGAAGGGAAGCGAAAGGCAAAGGTGAAAGAGAAAGATACACCCAATTGAATGCAGAATTCCAGAGAATAGATAGACGAGATAAGAATGCCTTCTTAAATGAACAGTGCAAAGAAATAGAAGAAAACAACAGAATAGGGAGGACCAGAGATCTCTTCAAGAAAATTGGAGATATGAAGGGAATGTTTCATGCAAAGATGGGCATGATAAAGGACCAAAATGGCAGGGACCTAACAGAGGCAGAAGAGATTAAGAAGAGATGGCAAAACTACACAGAAGAACTATACAAGAATGAGCTTAACATCCCAGATAACCACAATGAGATGGTCACTGACCTCGAACCAGACATCCTAGAATGTGAAGTGAAATGGGCCTTAGAAAATCTGAGCAACAACAAAGCTAGTGGAGGTGACAGTATTCCAGCTGAGCTATTCAAAATCTTAAAAGACGATGCAGTAAAAGTGCTACACTCAATTTGCCAGCAAATTTGGAAAACTCAACAGTGGCCACAGGATTGGAAAAGGTCAGTTTACATTCCAATTCCAAAGAAAGGCAATGCCAAAGAATGTTCAAACTATCGCACCATTGCACTCATTTCACATGCTAGTAAAGTTATGCTTAAAATCCTACAAGCTAGACTCCAGCAGTATGTGGATCGAGAACTACCAGAAGTACAGGCAGGATTTCGAAGAGGCAGAGGAACTAGAGATCAAATTGCCAACATACGCTGGATCATGGAGAAAGCTAGGGAGTTCCAGAAAAACATCTACTTCTGCTTCATTGACTATGCAAAAGCCTTTGATTGTGTGGATCACAACAAATTGTGGCAAGTTCTTAAAGAGATGGGAGTACCAGACCATCTCATTTGTCTCTTGAGAAACCTATATGCAGGTCAAGAAGCAACAGTGAGAACTGGACACGGAACCACTGATTGGTTCAAAATTGGAAAAGGAGTCCGGCAAGGCTGTATACTGTCGCCCTGCCTATTTAACTTATATGCAGAGCACATCATGAGAAAGGCAGGGCTAGATGAATCAAAAGTTGGAATTAAGATTGCCAGGAGAAATATCAACAACCTAAGATATGCAGATGATACCACTCTAATGGCAGAAAGTGAAGAGGAACTAAAGAGCCTCTTGATGTGGGTGAAGAAGGAGAGTGCAAAAGTTGGCTTGAAACTCAACATTAAGAAAACCAAAATCATGGCATCCGGCCCTCTCAATTCCTGGCAAATAGATGGGGAAGAAATGGAGGTAGTGACAGATTTTATTTTTCTGGGCTCCAAGATCACCTCAGATGGGGACTGCAGCCAAGAAATTAAAAGACGCTTGCTCCTGGGGAGGAAAGCTATGGCAAATCTAGACAGCATACTAAAAAGCAGAGACATCACCCTGCCAACAAAAGTGCGTATAGTCCAGGCCATGGTTTTCCCAGTTGCAATGTATGGCTGTGAAAGTTGGACCATAAGAAAGGCTGAGCGAAAAGAATTGAGGCCTTTGAACTATGGTGCTGGAGAAAACTCCTGCGAGTCCCTTGGACTGCAAGGCGTTCAAACCGGTCAGTCCTAGAAGAGATCAACCCCGACTGCTCTTTAGAAGGCCAGATCCTGAAGTTGAAACTCAAATACTTTGGCCACCTAATGAGAAGGAAGGACTCACTGGAGAAGGGCCTAATGCTGGGAAAGATTGAGGGCAATAGAAGAAGGGGACGACAGAGAATGAGATGGCTGGATGGAGTCACTGAAGCAGTAGGTGTGAACTTAAATGGACTCCAGAAGATGGTAGAGGACAGGAAGACCTGGAGGAACATTGTCCATGGGGTCGCGATGGGTCGGACACGACTTCGCAATTAACAACAACAACAAAGCTGCCTAAAGTACTTTCCCGCCTGTGGAGAGGGAAGGGAGATTCTATCCCACCCTCTAAAAACAGCAGCGACTGACTATCCAGGGGAGTTTAAAACGTTGCAAGAATAACTTGATTCTAACTGGATTTTTATCTTTTCAAAATTTGTGGACTAAAAGACTTTTTATTCTTATTGAAGATTTGGGTTTTCACTTACAAAAAAGAAGTAAAATTGGAATAAGGATTATAAAAATTTTGGACTTAAAAGAAAACTCTAAATGGTATGGGCGACATCTTGTGGCTAAACCGTATATTACAACTTGTTACTGCTTAAAACAGACTTGCCTTGCAGCCCAAACTATAGATAAAACTTTGTAATATTGACAGGTATCATCTGTGAGAAGCCCAGCTGTGTTCTATACTCACTGACAAAAAAATTTTCATTCTCTGATTGTAACACTTTTAACTTAATATATTAATAAGAGAACATGGATGAAGATCAGGAACAGATTCTCTTTATGTTGAAAGCAATTTATGAAACTATTCTTACAGCTACTGATGAAATAAGAAGTTACAGAAAAGAACAAGATGTCAGCCTAGATATACAAACCCAAACTTTGAGTACAACTACAAAATCAACTACACCAAACATAATAGAAGAAGTGGAACAATTAAATACAATGACAGAAGATTCAACTGATCAATAAACACAGTTAATGGAAAACCCAGAAAAGGGACTGACAACATGGAAAAGGGAAAAGACTTTCTATATAAACCAGAAGAAACCTGAGGATCAAGAAGAAGAACAGACTGAAGGGAAGATAAATACTTCAGGGCAACCATGTTGAGATGGAAAAATAGAGAGATGATTTGTTAGTCCTTTCAAAAAAATGGCAATTGGATGGCTTTTTCTACTTAAAACAATATACATAACAACACAGGGTGACTTATTTGATGACTTAAAAGCATGGTCATGGAAGGCGAGTTGGCAAAGAAAGAAAGCTAGAATAAGACTGAAGAAAATTGGGGTTTTGACTTATCAGTGAGAGTTAAAATAGAACATACTCAGATAAGATATGTATTTTGAATACTAGATTTTGCTATGAGCTGAGATAAAGAAAACTTTGGTCATTTAAAACCTGAAAGTATAAATATTAATAGTTAAATTTGAATATTGATTTGCTTATAAAGATTGAATACAAAAGTAATTAAGATATATATAAGCTAAAAATCCATTGATGAATGCAAGAAATACGTTTTACTTAGCTGTTATAATAAAAACTATTAGCTTAAATATGAGATAGTAGACATTGAGAGAAAAAGAGAGGAAGTATTAAATGTTGAATTAAGAGAAATTTTGGTTATTAAATTTAAGACATTTGGAAATTAACAGAAAATAAGAATGTTATACTGTATTATTAATTAGTTGATGTAAAATGGTGAGAAATAGAACATATTCAAATAGATAAGACGTGTATCCTGAACATTTGATTTTGCGATGAATTGTGATAAAGGGAATTGTTGTTATTTAAAACTTGGAAATTATAAATGTTAAATGTTAAATTTAAATATTAATGGAAAACTAAAAATTGGGAAAAACTAATTAGGACATTGATTGTCTATAAAGATTGAATGTTAAAATAACTAGGATATGTATAAACTAAAAATTATTGATAAATGTAAGAAAGTTATTTTATTCAATTGATATAATAATAATTGTATTAGTTTAAATATGAGACAGTAAATACTAAAGGGAAAAGAGAGGAAATATTTAATGTAGTAGTTTGAGACTCGTATTAAAGATACTTGTATGTTATTGAATTATTGATTAACTCAGCTGCCACGTTGCTTTTTAAATATTTAAATGTAAAATTAGAAAATCAATCAAATTTTCTTTAAAAAAAAGAAATATGGGAAAGTAATACTGTATGTGGCAAGATTATTGTGCACACAAAGTTGGGGAAATAATAAATTGCCCAGACTAGAAGATTGGATTCTGAAATGGATGGAGCTTGCAGAAAGGCAAAGCTGACCAATTTGATCAGGGAAAATATAATAGAGATTTTAAAGGATTAAAAATCTCATAGAAGTTTTGCTGAAAGAAGAAAAGATGTTTATGGTATTGAAAAATTCTCATAAAAATTAATTAAACCACTTTAAAATATCAATTATCTATCTATCTATCTATCTATCTATCTATCTATCTATCTATCTATCTATCTATCTATCCATTAATTAGTTTATAATACTTTCAAGGGAAAGAGCCATGACTCTTAATTGGTTGTTTATATCCCTAACTATAAGCAAGCACTCCTAAGAATTAAGTCTGGATTCAAAACTTGTCCTTAAAAGAATATGTAGTTTAAAGTGCCAGACTTCTCCTAGGATGTGAAAAGTGAATTTATTTGTAAAGAAGTAGAGAACCAGCTCACATACATACATCTGGAGTTTCCACAGAATTTCTTTTGGTGACCTCATTAGCTACCTCCTCTGAATATAAATTTAAGTTACTGGGCCTATTGCAGCCTAATATATTCAGCCAAACCCTTTATTAGTTTCATGTACAGAAATTTGTGGACAGCCAACATGGTGAGGTAGTTTAAGCAACTGTAAAAGGAGTGGGCAAACCCTGGTTTTAGTCCCCATTTAAGCATGAAAACCAGCTAGGTTACTTTGGTTATGCCTTGCCCTCTTAGCCCTAATTAGTTTCAGGCTCTGTGACCTCCTGGCTGGAAAATCATCATAAGTTTCATTGTAAGAACTAGGTGAGTACAGTGTAAAAACAAGGAAACCCTGCAACTAAGCAGAACAAATGCTATGAATATGTGCTGAAATTAATGACTGACAATACATGTAGTATATCTACAAAGTATACAATATATCATCATAAACACATACAAAATTACTTTCTGTATTCAAAACTGCTGTACAGGCAAATTATAGATATTCTGGTCAATTGGCAAAATTAATCCTCCTCATATTATATAATTCTGAAAAACAATAGAAAGGATTTTAATGGCAAATCAATCCCTAGCTATATTCAGCAGCAAAGTTTTATTTATTCCTATTATGCATATATTTCTACTTTGAAATGTCTCTAGCAGAAGACTGACAGATTGTCACAATCTTACCTCATTTCATAAGCCCCCATTCAAATCTTCTTCGATTTTACAGGCTTGCATAAGTTGCTTTGAAGGAATTACTTTGAAATGCAGACGGCACAGTACTGCAATGAATATGTGTAAAGTATGTTGCAAGACTGTGTGGAAGGGTGGAACTGCTTTTTCTGAGAGGACAGAACAAACATTCTTTTGATTAATATTGCATTACATAAGAGAACCTTGTAAACTGACATGATCAGCATGTGGAAAGAAGCTGTTTAATCAGATTTAAAATGATGAGAGGAGTTTCTGACATTTGAGCCAAGAAAAAAAAAAGATAACCATGGGCATCTTTTGAGAGATTCAGTCCCCCCCCCCGCATTAAACACCTATTTAGCTAGAGTTTAACACCAGAATATTTCATTGCAGACAGTAGCAAAAACATTCCACACTTAAATATTATGGTTAAGGACTTGTTTGGAATGCTAGGTTGTCTCATCAACAGAATAGGAAAACAACTGTTTCTGAAGGCATAAATGGATGATATCACTTCTTTCAATCCCCTGCTCATCTTCAAAATGACTTCAGGGCTCATTTTTTTCTTCTACTTTTTTCTATTACATTGCCTCAAGCATTCCTGTCTGTTTGGGATAGCATGATTTAGTTTATTGCAGGCTAATTCTAATATTTGATTGATTTCACATTATATTAGTTCTACAGTATTCCCTAGTCTACTAAGTTAACAAGTCTATCAGAGAGAGAGATAAACTCAGCCAGCATGAATTGTTTGTGACAATCTCATGGCGTCTCCTCATAATTGTAATATGCCCATCCTACTCACAAAATCCTAATTCCAGAAGACAGGCTTAAGATACAGAAGGATCTTGACAGACTTGAATATTGGGCGCTATCTAACAAGAGGTGAGGTATCATCAGTATGCAGATGATACCCAATTATATATCTCCACCCCGTGCCCTTTCAGTGAAGCGGTCGACGTGATGTGCCGGTGCCTGGAAGATGTGAGGGTCTGGATGGGGGTGAACAGGCTTAGACTCAACCCTGACAAGACCGAGTGGCTCTGGGTCCTGCCTCCCAAAGGCCAACTGGATGGTCCATCTTTAGTCCTGGGGGGGGCAAATTTACCTCCCTCAGTGCAGGCACGCAACTTGGGTGTCCTCCTAGACTCACAGCTAAATCTGGAACAACATCTATCAGCTGTGGCCAGGGGGACCTTTGCACAGGTTCGCCTAGTGCACCAGTTGCGGCCTTATTTGGACCGGGAGGCTTTACTCACAGTCACTCATGCCCTTGTCACCTCAAGACTGGATTACTGCAATGCGCTCTACATGGGGCTACCCTTGAAGAGCGTTTGGAGGCTGCAGTTGGTTCAGAACGCAGCCGCGAGAGTGATTGTGGGCGCGCCAAGGTACGCCCACGTGTCACCTATCCTCCGCGAGCTGCACTGGCTTCCTGTGGGTCTCCGGACGCAATTCAAGGTGTTGGTTATCACCTTTAAAGCCCTTCATGGCATAGGGCCAGGTTACTTACAGGACCGCATTCTGCCGCATAGCTCCCAGAGACCGGTGAGGTCCCATAGATTGGGCCTCCTTCAGGTCCCGTCGGCCAGACAATGTCGGCTGGCGGGCCCTCGGGGAAGGGCCTTTTCCGTGGTGGCTCCGACCTGGTGGAACCAACTTCCCCCCGAGGTTCGAACTACTCCCACCCTGCCGGCCTTTAAGAAGGCTGTTAAAACCCTCCTGTTCCGGCAGGCCTGGGGCTGATGTCCCCGGGGGGCCGGGATATGACCGGACTCGCAGTATGATCGCAGTATGATTGTATTATTTTATTATTTTATTGTTTTTTGACTGTTTTTTAACTTTGTACGCCGCCCTGAGTCCTTCGGGATTGGGCGGCATATAAATATTAAAAATAAATAAATAAATAAATAAGATGAAATTCAATGGTGAAAAAAGTAAGGTTTTACATTTAGGCAAGAAAAACCAAATGCACAGGTATAGTATAGGTGGTACCCTGCTCAATAGTAGTAACTGTGAGAGGGATCTCAAAGTCCTAGTGGACAATCACTTAAATATCAGCCAGCAGTGTGGTGCAGCTGCCAAAAAAGCCAACACAGTGCTAGGCTCCATTAACAGAGGGATAGAATCAAGATCATGTGAAGTGTTAATACCACTTTACAACGCTTTGGTAAGGCCACATGTGGAATACTGTATCCAATTTTGGTCACCACGATGTAAAACAATGTTGAGACTCTAGAAAGAGTACAGAGAAGAGCAAAAAAGATGATCAGGGGACTGGAGGCTAAAACATATAGGGAATGGTTGCTGGAATTGGATATGTCTAGTTTAATGAAGAGAAGGACTAGGGGTGACATGATAGCAGTGTTCCAATATCTGAGGGGTTGCCACAAAAAAGAGGGAGTCAAGCTATTCTCCAACCCTGAGGGCAGGACAAGAAGCACTGGATGGAAACTAACCAAAGAGAGAAGCAACCTAGAACTAAGGAAAAATTTCCTGACAGTGAGAACAATTAATCAGTGGAGTAACCTGCCTCCAGAAGCTGTGAATGCCCCAACACTGGAAGTTTTTAAGAAGAGACTGGACAGCCATTTGTCTGAAATGGTATAGGGTTTTCTGCCTGAGTGGGGGGTTGGACTAGATGACCTCCAAGGTCCCTTCCAACTTTATTGTTGTTGATGATGTTGCTGCCGTTGTTGTTGTTACTACTACTACTACTACTATTATTTGAACTGCTTTTCAAAGATCTTTCCCAAAAGAGATGTCAAAATGAAACCAGGTCCTTCTTTTTTCCCCTTTCTGAATATGGTATTTGTTCTCCTCTAATCTTATGGGACTACCAGTTCTACAGTAATTCTTAAAGATTACCATGAGAGGATGTGGACATTCCTTTGCCAGTTTTTCCAGTACCTTGGGCTACAATTTATCTGGTCTTAAATACTTGGATTCATTTAAATTAGCTAAGCATTCTCTTTGTTGTAAGTTGCACTTTTCTCTTCTCCAGTAACAGAACTATGATCAATCAGGGTTCCATTTCCTTTCTGAAAGATGACAGATACAAAATAACCAATTTGATATTCTCATCATCAACTGTTACTGCTTCACTAGCATCTTTTTGCAATCAACCTACATTCTCTTTGCTTTTCCTTTCATCCCTATCACATTCAAACAACTCCTTATTTTTAGTGTCTGTCACAACCCTCAGTCATTCTAAAGTTTTACCTTTTTGACGGAGTTTCTACAGTTTCTGAAGATGGTCTTATATCCTTCTTTGGCTAAATTCTTCTCCCTCTATTTACATACCATTTTTTTTTATGGATCCATGCTGGCCTTTTTAGATTTCTCCATGTTTCCTTGTAGGGGGGATTGTTTTAAATTGTACTTCACTGTCTCATTGTGTAGAATTAACTGTTCTTCTTGAACACTTTTCTCCTTCAGGATTTTAAATCTTCCCAATCTATTTTCCTTCTGAGTTCATCAAAACTACTCTTTTGAAATCCAGTTTGCAACTCCAATTCTTCTCATTTGCTCCTCTTCTGGAGATCATAGATTCAAAGATAACATAATCATTTCCTCCAGGGTGCCAGTCACTTTCACTTCTTCAACCAATTTCTTTCTGACAATTATGTCCAGGATAGAGGACCTCCATGTTGTTTCTTCTATCATCTTCTGACAAATGAAGTTATCAGCAAGAGAGGACAAGAATTTATTAGACCATTGACTTTTGTCTGAGTTATATTTTTAGCAAATGTCAGAATACTTGAGCTCCTATATATCTATTTGAAAGATTGCTAATCTTCTGACCACATCTATATTTTCTGCCTACTTAGCTGGTGTATAGAAACATTTCTGCAATGTCTCAGTCATCCAGGTCATGGTTGTCCCAAAGGTGCTTTTTTCAAAAGGCAACTGGACTTTCTTATTTTTCTTTGAAGATGTTTCACTTCAGCTGAAGCAAAAGAAGCTTCAGCTGAAGAAGCTTCTTGGATGAGAAGTGAAACGTCTTCAACGAAAAACAAGAAAGTCCAGTTGCCTCATGAAAAAAGCACCTTTGGGACATTCCTGCAATGTTTCTCTCTCTTTTTAATCTTACACAAATACTTTCAAGAGGATGTCTATGCCCTGGTTCTTCAATTTCTGAACGGGTTTATTTTTTCTTTACATACAAAATGTAAATGGCCAAAATGTGTTTTTTCCACATCTTATATTTTATTGTCATAGGTTTATTTTTGGCAATAAGAATGAAGATATGGAATTTAAACTATCAGAAAGTTCACTTGGTTTAACTTTTTGGCTATACATTATGTAATAATTGTACAAAAGTAATTGATTTTGGAATTTTAATAAAGATTTAGTTACTGGGGAAAGTATTTGCTTTTGCATTTTTCTCATAAGCACTCTAAAGCTGCGATTAGGACAATTATCTTTGGCCATATTGGCTAGGAATTTTGAAAGTTTCATACCTAACCTATCTGAGATGTTAGGCTAACTCTCAGATCACTGATAAGGGAGTAAGGAGCACTTAAGAAAAGTTGGATGAGAATTGGTAACCTGAATCTACCGGTATACATTTTGTTATCCTTCAAATGGATCAGGTGACTGTAAATAAACTTGTCAGGTATGATGGCCTTGGAGGTATTTATATGGGTGTACTCATGGGCACAGGGAGGATTAAATGCTACTTCCTACTTGACAATTCTTCTCAATAAATACCAAGTTCTGCATTCATAGAAGCTTGGAAGATTTAACAATGTCATCGTAAGACTTACTTAATGGAACTGTGCTTTAAGATTACTCTTCACTTCTTAAATAAAAGCAAAATATATTATAACTCTCAATCCATAGCTCACTTTTCTAGGTCATATAGAATACATATAAACAGTTCACCAGAATATTTTATATTGCTAGTTGATCTTGCAGAAACTTGTTCGCATGAGGCATTAAGTACAGCATAATCAGTTGTACTGTAACTTCCTGCAGTTAAAACAGTTTAACACTTCAGTACTTTTTTCTAAATCCCTTTGACTTTGTCTTGTGTCCTGAAATTTCCTGGACAAGTTCATGACCATATTTTCAAAGTGGTTTCTCATTGCCTTCTTCCTATGGTTAAGAAAGGGTAATAGGTCCAAAGTCATCCATCTGGCTTTGTGCCTAAGGCAGGACTAGA